TAATTATTGTGTATTTTTAGTAGAGACGGGGTTTCACCATACTGGCCAGGCTAGTCTCGAACTCTTGACCTTGTGATGTACCCGCCTTGGCCTCCCAAAGTGCTGGGATTACAGACATGAGCCACCGCGCCTGGCCTTTCTTCCACATTTTTAAAATTATTTTTTGTTTAGGGTTGCACTCCTTTGTCCTTGAATGCCCCTTTATAACACTCAGCCTGTCTGGGAGGAATTGGAAGGTTTCCCTCCGCTTTCTGTTGCCTGTGGGAAAAGAGAGTTGTGACTACTGTCAGCTTAGCTGGGAGTACAGCTTCAGATTGCCAGGCCATCTCCTCATCAGAAAGAGAGTATGAAAGGCACAGTTCTGCCAGAGGGTGCATATGTTATTCACTATTAACTTGGGTTTCAGACAACAGAAAACCTTTAGCAGCATGGCTCAAACATGTTGATGTTTGTTTCTCTCACATGTTAAAAGGAGGCAGTGTGGGTTGGATGACTTCAGTTCTTCAGGGAGTCAGGTTCATTCCTTCTGTCTTCCTGCTCTGCCATCCTCAGCCTGTGACTTCTAGCCGGTGGTCCAGGATGGTCCAGGATGGTTACTGAAGCTCTAGCTGTCATGTCTGCATTGTAACTGACAGGAAGGACAAAGACACTGCCTCCCTCATTTAAAGACACTTTCTGAGGTCTTATATGAAATGTTTGCGTACATCCCAGGAGAAAACCTGGTTGCACAGCTATACCTACCTGCAGGAGAGGCTAGGACACGTCAGCTTTATTTTGGACAGACATGACTTCAGCTAAAATTTCTATTACGAAGGAAAAAGGGAAGAACAGATAGAGGAAGATAACTAGCCATCTGTGCCACAGAGACTTTGGAGATTTGTTTCTGCTTTGGCTTTCAGTCTGGATCTGCCATTTGAGTTCTCCTTTCTCAGCAATAAGCTCCTAGAGAGCCTTGAAGACCCTCATGTAGGTCCCACGCTCATTGGTGCAGGCTTGTCCAGCAAGGAAATGAGATCAGGAGAAGAGGGAAGGTTTTAACTGTGGTAGCTGAATCTTAGCATCTGGCTTTAAGGCCCAGCTGTTGACTTTGTTTGAACTCTGATAGTTTATGGTAAGGCTAGAGGGGCTGGGAGTTCTAGGAAGCAATAAAGGAGCAAGGATCAGATGGTGAAATTTTGTTTCTTAATTAGAAACAGGAGAACAGTCAAGAGACTTGGCTTCTGCTTGACAGACTGTTCTAGGAGCTCTCTGTTCTCTGGCAGGGCTGAGAATAGGGTGAGGCAAGCGAGATGCCTGGGGCCAGCGTTGAAGGGCGTACTCACTCTCAGGTTCCTGTATGTGGTCCCCTGAGAATGAGTGCCTCCTTAAATTTTGTGCTCTAGGTGCCTCCTAACTTCACACTGCCCTGGCTCTGCCTTCTGGTGCTACATTGTTGCTAATGAACAATTTTTATTTTTAAACAAATTCTTTTAAAATGTTTCAGGGGCCATGCTAATCTTTGCATTGTTCCAATTTTAGTATATGTGCTGCTGAAGTGAGCACGAACTATTTTTATTTTTATCTAGAAAGAGGCGTATGTTCATGGTAAACCAGTCATAAGGGCACACAGTGGAAAAAGTCTCCCTCCTTCTCTCCAGCTTTAGTCTTTCTCCCCAGAGGAGCCACTCTCACCAGGTGCTTTTGTATCCTTCCAGCTGGTCTACTGGAATGGACTCTGTAGGCATTTCCACAAACAGTTGCCTTCATTCATTAGTTTAGCACACAGTTGTTGAATTTCCACTGTGTGTAATATTTACCTGTGTGCAGAGAGACCAAACCTGTAGGACACTTACAGCAAGATAGAGGGAAGGAGAAGGATCAGAAGTGAGACCCACTGCCTGTTAGTGGGTCTGAGGAGTGCATCAGCTTCTCTTCCCCTTGGAGCTGCAAACAAGAAGCACAGTTAGCACTGCCAGGATACTGTCAGTCTCTTTCTCCATCTGTATTTCTACCTTTTTGTGTCTTTCTCCTTTTGTCCTCTTCTCTCTGTCTCTGCCTCCTTGTCTCTTATCTCTCACCCCGTCTCTGTCTTCTGTGTATTTTCTCGTCTTTCTTTTTTTGTTTTTGTTTTTTTTTTTTAGAGACAAGTTCTCACTCTGTTGCCCTGGCTGGAGTGCAGTGACTATTCACAGACGCTATTACAGTACACTATAGGCCTGGACTCCTGGGTTCAGCAGTTCTCCCACCTCAGCCTCCCACACAGTTGGGACTCCAGGTGTGCAACGCTGCCCCGACCCCGTCAGTCTTTTTGTCTAAGCTGCATGCCCTCCCACTTCTGCTTCTTTTTGTGGTCCTGCTTCCTTCCTCTACTTACTTATGGTTTCTGTCCCTTTGTTACTAAGGGCTTGTATGTGACTTTGACTTGCTATAGCTCCTGACCCTTCTGTCCATTACTATTAGATTCAGTTTCTTGGTATTCCAATTCTGTGTTTCTGGGAGAGGCAATATAACAGAGTCAACTTGGGTCCAGTGTCTGGCTCCATCAGTCATGATAGGGAAGGGGGAGCAATTCCCAAGAAGGAGCTGGGCAGGTACTTCAAAACATGGCTACTGTACTGTACAGGGGCCTATGGATTACTGATGTCTATTAACTAGGTAATCCGTATGTTAGCTGATTGAGGCTTAACCCCATACCGGTAGCTTTGATCATCAGGGTAGGGTCCTGGGAAGACCTGCCAGCAGCATGCATTTCTTTGGGCTTCTTCTCCCCTCCCATTTGACCCCTGTCCCCCTACTTCCACATCATGATTGACTAGTAAGCACCTGTGTTACTTGCCAGTGTACTGAGTGAAAGCTCTTTGAAGCCATTGAGCCTGCCACCTGCCACCTGTGTTCATTTTCACAGGCTGGCCGTAGGCACTTCTCTCCATTTGAATGGAAGAATATCCAACTTTCTGACAATTTGCCTTGCCCCAGGGAATTGGAAGTTAAAGTGAAAATCTTACCACCTTGGTTCTAACCAGAGTTTATCAGTACCCCTCTTTGCTTGGTGATGAGCTTAAGAAAACAACATGGCCAGGTTCAGTGGCTCATGCCTGTAATCCTAATACTTTGGGAGGCTGAGGCAGGAAGACTGCTTGAGCCCAGGAGTTCCAGACCAGCCTGGGGAACATAGCGAGACCCCTGTCTCTAATTTTTTTTTTTTAATTAGCTGGGTGTGGTTGTGTGCACCTGTGGTCCTAGCTAATAGGAGGCTGAGGGTCACTTGAGCCCTGGAGATCGAGGCTGCGGTGAGCTGTGATTGTGCCCATTCCAGCCTGGGTGACAAAGCAAGACCCTGTCTCAAAAAAAAAAAAAAAAAAAAAAAAAACGAGGAAGAAAGAAAATAAAATGATATACTGCTGTTGCCTTCTGAGAATTTGTGATCTTGGGAGAAGCATGACCCAGTCACCTGAGGGAGAGATTTGAGACAGGTGTCTACGTGACGATAGCATAGACACTAAGCTGTGCTAAGAAGCAGGAATGCCATGTGGTTCAGGAGACAAAGAGCTCAGAGAGGGGCTGGCTGGTGTATTTAGAGAAGGTTTTACAGAGGAAGAGGAAGCGGGGGCTGAACTAGACCTTGAAAGTGGGAGTTGCTGTTAGCTGTGGCAGGAAGAGGAGGGGAGGACATTTCTTTTTACGTGTATGTCTGGTACGAATAAGAGAGAGAGTCTGGCTGAAGGAGAGAGTGCAAAGTGGGTAGGAGTAAGTGGAGTTGGCCTAGAGATGGGCCCAAAAGATTTTGTAATAAGATTTGAGGTGCACATAAAAGTTCTATTTTTGGATGCTAGAGGCAGTACTTACAGATGTCACTGCGTTCCTTCCTGCTGGATATTGCTCTTATGTCCTCCCTATGGATCAGAGCAGTCATTGTTTAGCAGGAGCAAAGTGCCAGGGCCCTCAGCACAGGGCCCAGATGTCACTGAGGTGTGTGAGGAGCTAGAACTTAAGGCCACGTGAGCCTAGGGAGTACCCTAGTGGGTGCGCTTCTCCATGGACTTCATTGAGAATTGGGAGGTATGGGTAGGAATGAGGGTGGAAGTGATCAGTGGGCTTGGGAATGTGAACTTAGAAATGGTAGTTAGCTTCTCTCAGCCTCAGTTTCCTCATCCATAAAATGGGAATAGGAATATCTGTATTTTGGGGTCGTGAGAATTGATGCAGAGGTATATGTGAAATTTTCAGGCATATAACAGACTTTTTTTCTTTCTTTCTTTCTTTTTTTTAATTTTTTTTTTTGAAACAGGGTCTTACTCTGTCATCCAGGCTGGAGTGCACAGCTCACTGCAGCCTCAACCTCCTAGGCTCAAGCGACCCTCCCACCTCAGCCTCCTGAGTAGCTGGGACTACAGGTGTGCACCACTACACCCAGCTAATTTTTGTATTTTTTGTAGTGACAGGGTTTCTCCATGTTGCCCAGGCTGGTCTCTAACTCCTGGGCTCACAGGATCCATCTGCCTCAGTTTCCCAAAGTGCTGGGATTATAGGTGTGAGCCACTGCACCTGGCCTCATTTTTACACTTACATGCAAAACACTGTCTCTCTAATTTCTTAGGTAACCTGCCATCTGCATTCAAATTCACCTCACTTACTGATGTGTTTCTTTTGGCCATGAAGAGGTCTTATGTCTCCTGTGGTTTGGAACCTTGGGAGTCTGGGTGGGAAAGAGTGGGTGAAATCACCCATCCCTGGGCCTGGGGGGGATTCCCAGAAATGGTGCTGGCCATCAGGATGCATAAGTATGTATTCACGCATGCCTTCGTATCCTCGATTGCCAGTAGTGATGGACGTGCCTGTGTGCTGTCAGCTGAGGCGGGTGCAGGGTGTCCCCTCACTTGCCAGTTCACCTTGTTCTGACTGGTCTATTGGTCCCTCTGCCTTAGGCAGGAAGGGCAGAAAGTGGTGCTCTCTGTAAAGAGGGGTTGGGCCCCTGTGCCCTCAACTCAAGCCTACCAGTGACTTTGTGGTTTTCCTCCTAGGCCTGCTGACATTTGTGAACTGTGCCTATGTCAAGTGGGGCACACGTGTGCAGGACACGTTCACTTACGCCAAGGTCGTAGCGCTCATTGCCATCATTGTCATGGGCCTTGTTAAACTGTGCCAGGGTAAGTGGTGGGAAGGGGCGGTACCACCAGGAGTTCCTCTGGATTCCCTGAGGAGGACATGGGGACTCTGTTAGCTTCACTGCTCAGCTGTTTCTATGTACATGCTAGCATGTGTCAGTGAGTGCAAGAGATGGGAGTAGATTTCTTTCTGGGCTTTCTGGGCCAGGCTGGCTTGGCCAAGTGGACATGAGTCAGCCTCTCCCTCAGGGCTGGTTTCCTTTGGTGGAGGCTGGGAGCACTGCAGGAAGCCAGCCAAAGGCCTAGCAGCTCCTGAAGCTTGGGTCATGATTGGGTCATAAAAGTGATCTGTGGGGATACAGTGGCTCCTATTTGTGGTCTGTGACTGCCAAGCTACAAGTAGGAAGACTGGGCCCTCCTTGAGACAGGTGGCAGGGGATATGGAGTGGAAAGTGGGGTATGGAAATGGGTGGTTATTTTGCAGCCTTTACTTTTCATCTGAACTTGTATTCAACAATCCCTCCCCAAGTCAGCTCTCAGAAAAATATTAAAATGTTGTGAAATTGGCAGTGTCTTTCCTGCATGTTGGCTTTAGAAAACTTTTCGTTCCTGGATCAGAGAGGACTGGCAGTGAGGGTAATAGGCCTACCAAGATCTCATGAGCCCTGGAGAGGTCTTGAGGTGTATTTAGCCACAGATATCTCAATCATCTCACAGCCTAGTTCTCTGGGTCATCAGTCCTAGTGATTGTACACAGCTCCCCGGCTGGGGGAGCTGAGACCCTAATCTCAAATCTATTGGATCACATTCTGGTTGGTTTGGAGTCTAAGAAGCTGTGCTTTTAAGAATTGCCCTTGGCCGGGCGCGGTGGCTCACGCCTGTAATCCCAGCACTTTGGGAGGCTAAGGCGGGTGAATCAGCGGGTGAGGAGTTTGAGACCGGCCTGGCCAACGTGGAGAAACCCCATCCCTACTAAAAATAAAAACATTAGCCGGGCGTGGTGGTGTGCGCCTGTAATCCCAGCTAGTTAGGGAGGCTGAGGGAGGAGAATGGCTTGAAACCAGGAGGTGGAAGTTGCAGTAAGCCAAGATTGTGCCACTGTCCTCCAGCCTGGGTGACAGAGCAAGACTCAGTCTCAAAAAAAAAAAAAAAAAGAATTGCCCTTGTTGGGCTGGGTGTGGTGGCTCACGCCTGTAATCTCAGCACTCTGGGAGGCCAGGAGGCTGAGGCAGGTGGATCACCTGAGGTCAGGAGTTCGAGACCAGCCTCGCCAACATGGAGAAACCCTGTCTCTACTAAAAATACAAAAAATTAGCTGGGCGTGGTGGCAGATGCCTGTAATCCCAGGAAATTGGGAAGCTGAGGCAGGAGAATCATTTGAACCCCGGGAGGCGGAGGTTGCAGTGAGCCGAGATCTTGCCATTGCACTCCAGCCTGGGCAACAAGAGCAAAACTCCATCTCAAAAAAAAAAAGAAAAAGAAAAATAGAATTGCCATTGTTGATTCTCGGGCTGCTGGTCTAGCCCGTGTACTTATATCAAGTTAGTAGAGCTAGCCACATGGATGTTCCTGGAGGCTCGGGAGCATCCTGGGGTCAAATTGCATTTTGAGTAATCCTCCCCTGAAGATCTGTTCCTTAGGGAACCACTGCTGTGTATGAGGATGGACACCCCTGAGGACAGGGGTCTCTATTTTCTCTTCTCTTGCTGCATAACCAGCTCATTTTACCACATGAGAGCTGGGTCTAGGCTTTCTTCAGGGTATGACAATGGGGTTCCTTAGAAGTCTGGGTCTTGTTAAAAACCCCAGTGTGTCCAGAGGGTCTCTGTCCTGGGTAGCTGGGTGCTGTCCCCTGGGCTTTTGGGTCTGCAGTCTCTGAGACCTCTGAGGAGAATGACAGGCGTCTGGACCTGAGCTGGCTCCCCAAAGGGTAGGGGTGGCCCAGGCCTAGTGAAAGATAAGGTCTCAGTTCCTCTATAGCATGTGATCTCCCCCATGCAACCATAGCCACCGCAAGTAGAGCAGCAGAGAGTCCTTCCCATGAGGCTGATAAACCCATTTGACCAAATTCTGTAGTAGTCTGGCCCAGGAGAGGTATTTCACAGGAAGGTCTAATTTTTGATGAAAAATGACTCCTTCCTGTGAAACGGGTTCTTGACATAAATAGGTAGAAGAGCTGGGGCTTGCTGTGAGATCACTTGCGGGAAATGGAAATTCCTTAGGGTTTTGGAAGAAGTATTGTCACATCAGAGGGCAGCCAGGAATGTCTTTGGTTTTTTATTGTCTAGTTTTATTAGATGAATGGAGCTTTCCTGAGGAAGTGGGTGGTGTGGTAAAGTGTAGGGAGCTAGTGGTTGCTGATCTTTTGGTGTTAAATTATGTTTTTTTTTTTTTTTTCTTTCCCCTACCTTCTTGTTTTTTCTTTCTTGTTCCTCCCCATTCCTCCTTTTTTTCATCTTCCCTTCCTCTTCCCTATTCTCCTTTCATATCTTTCTCTTACACCTCCCATCTCCTCCTTTCTTCTTTGGCCTGTTCCTTCTCTCTGAACCCCTCACCTGCCTTTGCCCCCACAGGACACTCTGAGCACTTTCAGGACGCCTTTGAGGGTTCCTCCTGGGACATGGGAAACCTTTCTCTTGCCCTCTACTCTGCCCTCTTCTCTTACTCAGGTTGGGACACCCTTAATTTTGTAACAGAAGAAATCAAAAACCCAGAAAGGTAAAGGCGGGATCACTCTCTCACTCCCCAGCTTGGCTGGAACTCCTGCTGATAGTGGGCGTGGCTGCCCCCATCCTTCTCCTCCTCCCTCCGACTCTCCTCCCCTCTTCTCCCTACTCCCCCTTCTCCAGCTAGGAGGGGCTGAGGGCTAGAATGGGAGTGAGTGAAGGTGGGAAAACCTTTGGCTCCCTGTCCTTATGTTCACACTGGAGGATACATAGGGTCCTTCCTAGAGGAGAGGCCCTTCAGTGGGGAGCAGCAGGCCGAGCTGGGGCTAAGGAATTAGGACCTTGAACCTTCAGTGGGGAGCAGCAGGCCCAGCTGGGGCAAAGGAATTAGACCTTGCACTGTGGTGCTGACACTACAGCCCACAGAACCAAAACTTATTCTGGCCAGCTGGGTCCCCAGCCTGGCATCTAGTCCCCAGGACACTGTTCCTTGCATTGTTCCTCTGAGATCATACATGCAGGAGGATTATGAAACCCAATGGGACCCACTGGCCCTACTGTGACAAAGATCAAATATTGATCATGAGCTATCTTCACAGAGAAAGTTCTCTTTTTCAGTAGAAAGAGCCCAGGGTCAAGGGGAAGGTGAGCCTGCCTCAAAGACTCAGAGGCCAGTGAACTGTGAAATGTTAGGAAAATCCTAGTGGAGACTTGATAAACTTTATTCCCAAGGAGAAGTTGGTTCTAGGTAGTCCTTTCTCACTTGTCCTGACAGAAATTTGCCCTTGGCCATTGGGATTTCTATGCCAATTGTGACGCTCATCTACATCCTGACAAATGTGGCCTATTACACAGTGCTGAACATTTCAGATGTCCTTAGCAGTGATGCCGTGGCTGTGGTGAGTCTCTTGGGATCCCCATTTGTTCATCATCTCATGATGCTGAGCCACCCTGCACAGCTCAGTCTCTCTTACTGCACTCTCCTCAGCTCTGCAGGATGAGGTCATGAGTCTAGGCCAGAGGGTGGGCTGCTGAGCAGTGATTGCATTTGTTCCGAGATCGTAGATGAGGATTATGAAACCCTGTCCTGTTTAAGTGCCTCTTCTGTGCCCTTCCCCCAGACATTTGCTGACCAGACGTTTGGCATGTTCAGCTGGACCATCCCCATTGCTGTTGCCCTGTCCTGCTTTGGGGGCCTCAATGCATCCATCTTTGCTTCATCAAGGTACTGTGTCTCTGTGTCACTGATAGTAGACCACAATATTTCATTCCCTGGGGCTTCGGGGTAAGAGTTCTTTTTTCCCTTCTTCTCATGGGCATATGGGGTGTGTGTGTGTGTGCGTGTGTGTGTTTGATATGTGGGCATGTACTTGCCTTTGTGCAAGTAGCACATCTGTGTGCTGGTAGCTCATGTTTCTATCTGAGATGAGGACAGATTGTGTGCTGATAGCTCATGTTATGTGCTGATAGCTCATGTTTATGTGCTGGTAGCTCATATTTTGTGTGCTGGTAGCTCATATTTTGTGTGCTGGTAGCTCATGTTTTATGTGCTGGTAGCTCATGTTTATGTACTGGTAGCTCATGTTTCCATCTGAGATGAGGACAGATTGATGAAAGGTATAGGGGAGAAAGGCAACAGCTTGGAGTGGTGACTCAGGCAGGGACCAGATTCTAGGCTCCTTGTGGGTTATGCTGTAGCCCCGGGATTCATTTCTTCAGTAAATCATAATACCACTTGCTGTGTACCAGGTATTAGTGCTGTGTACAGAAAGACTTTTCCCCTCACTTCCCAGAAAATGCCGAGGCCATCAGGTCTCCTGATCTCCTCTCTGTGCAGACATCAGTAAGCGCGCTGGTCCTTCCTGTTGTTGCAGAGGAAGGAGCAGGTGTGCCTTTCCTGGCAGACCCTACCTGGGCTCAGGGTTCCAGCGCTTCCCCTCTTCAGCAGTTTGCTTCATCAGTTGGCCCTTCTCTTTGGTGGGTGCTCACTTGGAGACCAGCTCTCCATGAGCTTCTCTCCTCTCCACTTAGGCGAGTCACAAAATAGCATTTCACATCTGCCCTCTTCCCACTTACTGGATGTACTTCTTTTTATTTTTAAATTAATTTTTTTTTTAGAGATTGGGGTCTCACTATGTTGCCCAGGCTGGTCTCAAACTCCTGGTCTCAAGTGATCTTCCCACCTTAGCCTCCCGAGTAGCTGGGATTAAAGGCGTGCGCCACCATGCCTCGCCCTGGATGCACTTGTGAGACAGCAGTCTGTGCTTCAACTTTCATTCATTTTCCTACCTGTTACAGTTTGGCTTCTACTACCTGAAAAATATTCTTATTAAGGCTATCTCTTTCTTAGCCTGTCTGTAGTCCTCATCCTATTGGACCTCTGAAGCAAGTGATGCTGACCACTTGCCAATTTTGAAACGATCTCCATGGCTTCTATGACATAAGATACCTGAGAAGAAAGTATCCTGATTTCTCTTCCACTCACCCTACAACTGGTGTTGTCCCCAGGGCCGGGGGTATAATAGTCATCCAATAAATATTTGCCACATGAACACAGAGAAGGATGAAAAATAAAAGAGTTTTGTCCTGTTCATTCTTTTTACTGGTTTTCACACACCAGTCCATGTATTGTGCCTCCCTGGGGCAACCGAAGAATTAGAGAAGTCAAGGCCTTGTAAAAGAACATAGTGTCCAGCTGGGCGCAGGGCTCACGCCTGTAATCCCAGCACTTTGGGAGGCTGAGGCGGGAAGATCACCTGAGGTCAGGAGTTCGAGACCAGCCTGACCAATATGGGGAAACCCTGTCTCTACTAAAAATACAAAAAAAAATTAGCTGGGCATGGTGGCATGTGCTTGTAGTCCCAGCCACTCGGGAAGCTGAGGCAGGAGAATTGCTTGAACCCAGGAGGCAGAGGTTGCAGTGAGCTGAGATTGTGCCATTGCACCCCAGCCTGGGCGACAGAGCGAGACTCTGACTCAAAAAAAAAAAAAAAAAAAAAGTAGTGTCATCTTCCCTTTCCTCAGCCTCGTTTTGATAGATGGACTTCTTGTCTAGCCTTTCCCTGACACCCTAGCCTCCCCTCCTCTAGTTTGCCCTCCAGACTGGTGTCAAATCCTGTCAGGCCCTTACCTCAAAGCCACAGCTGACTCTGTGTTTGTTCAGACTCCACAGTGTGGCCTTGCATGCAGGTTCTTCCCAGCACCCTCTTCTCACACAGCTTGTCCTGGGCCTCTAGGCATTCTACATCAACCTCCAAAAAGACCACGCTCTTTCATGCCTCCACACATTTTGCCTTTGCACATGCTCGTTTTCTCCACCTACCGACTTGCTTCTGGAAACTCTTCTTTGCATCTCTTCTCTTTTTTTTTTTTTTTTTTTTTTTTGAGATGGAGTCTCGCTCTGTCGCCCAGGCTGGAGTGCAGTGGCGCGATCTCGGCTCACTGCAAGCTCCGCCTCCCGGGTTTACGCCATTCTCCTGCCTCAGCCTCCCGAGTAGCTGGGACTACAGGCGCCCGCCACCTCGCCCGGCTAGTTTTTTGTATTTTATTTTAGTAGAGACAGGGTTTCACCGTGTTAGCCAGGATGGTCTCGATCTCCTGACCTTGTGATCTGCCCGTCTCGGCCTCCCAAAGTGCTGGGATTACAGGCTTGATGCATCTCTTCTCTTGCAAAGCGTTTTGGCACAAGCCTCTAGCCTAGCGAGTGAGTGTCGTGTACTCCAAGGTGATGCTGACCATGCTGAGGGGCAGTTCATTTCTGCGCCAGTCTTTTTTTGTTTGTTTTTGAGACAGAGTTTAGCTCTTGTTGCCCAGGCTGGAGTCCAATGGTGTAATCTCGGCTCACTGCAACCTCCGCCTCCCGGATTAAAGTGATTCTCGCCTCAGCCTCCTGAGTAGCTGGGATTACAGGCATGTGCTACCACACCTGGCTAATTTTTTTTTTTTTTTTTTTTTTTTTTTTTTGAGAGAGTTTCACTCTTGTTGCCCAGGCTGGAGCACAACGGTGCGATTTCGGCTCACTGCAACCTCTGCCTCCTGAGTTCAAGCAATTCTCCTGCCTCAGCCTCCTGAGTAGCTGGGATTACAGGCGTGTACCACCACGCCCGGCTAATTTTTTATATTTTTAGTAGAGACGGGGTTTCACCATGGCCAGACTGGTCTTGAACTTCTGACCTCAGGTGATCTGCCCACCTCGGCCTCTCAGAGTGCTGGGATTATAGGCATGAGCCACCGCACCTGGCCTCTCCTGGCTAATTTTGTATTTTTAGTAGAGATGGGGTTTCTCCATGTTGGTCAGGCTGGTCTCAAACTCCCGACCTCAGGTGATCTGCCTGCCTCAGCCTCTCAGAGTCCTGGGATTACAGGTGTAAGCCCCCGTGCCCGGCCACTGTGCCAGTCTTTTTCTCAGTTGGTGGAGCTCTTTAGGTGTAGAAAGGAAGCCTGGGTTTTCTCTTTGACCCTCAGTCTTGCCTTGGTGTATCATACATCAGCTCAGGGAAAATATATAGAAGGCATGAACAGAAATCTGGCTGCCCTTCAAAAGCCATTATGTTAGCTATGAATCTGTGGCATGGATTGGGTGAGTCTGTTAGTGGGTGACAGCAGGGTGAGGCATCTTTTGGATGTTGGTGAGGTATCTGTGGCTGAGAGAAGAGGGGGTGTCTGGGTGATGGTGGGTTTCATAGCTGAGGGCCTTGGGCAGTTGGTCAGTGGACAATGGTGGATGGGGCATCTGGGTAGTGGTGAGGTGCCCGGGGATGAAGAGGGAGGCAAAGTCTGTAAGGAAGCAGGGAGCGGGGAGGTTGGACTGGTGATGCACCAAGGACCCAGGATGCTCCTGGGAGGCTGCGTCCTGCTTTCCTGGGGGGCTCTGAGCTGAGTTTGTCTGAGTGAGGAGTGTGGTTGTATCGCTGAGTAAAAGGAGTAAAAGGATCCCGCTGACACATTTCTCATCCTTCTAGGTTGTTCTTCGTGGGCTCCCGGGAGGGCCACCTCCCAGACCTTCTGTCCATGATCCACATTGAGCGTTTTACACCTATCCCTGCTTTACTGTTCAATGTAAGTTTTGCCAGGACCATGGGGCTTGGGCGGATCTGTGCATTGCTCCTTCTGATTTGTGCTAAGTTGTTAAATAAGAGGGACACTGAGAAAGGTCTTGCTCTAAGATTTGAAAAACAGGTCATTTTTTGTTGTCATTTAGTTCTTTTATAGTTTTACTAAGTTTAAATTTTGGATTAATCTGGAATTTATATTATAGCATAGTGTTGAGAAAGGTGGGGATTCACTTAATTTTTTCTCAAATGGCAGCCAGCTACACCAATATTGTTTACTGAACAATCCATTTTTCCACAGTTTTCAAACTTTTATCATAGAGAAGTAATAATAGCTAATTTTTTAGGGTCCTTAATATGTGCCAGTTATTACTGTGTGCCCCTTAAATGTGCCATCTCAACTAATCCTCCCCATCAGTGCCAAGCCTCCTTAGTTTAGCTTCATACTATCTGAAAACTAAAGAGGGACCAAGCGTACTTCTTTAGTCCCCCACCCTTAGAATTTTCCTAGCAATTCTCACATTCGTTTATTTGTCTTGATGAACTTTTCTATCATTTCATCAAAATAATAGAAAAATCCTCTTGATATTTTGACAGGGTCAGCATTGAATTTATAAATTTAGGAAGTTATCTGACTACAGGCACATACCACTAAGCCTGGCTAATTTATTTTTTGTACAGATGAGGTCTCACTATGTTGCCCAGGCTGGTCTTGAGCTCCTGGGCTCCAGTGAGCTGCCACTTCGGTCTCCCAAAGTGCTGGGATTATAGGCACGAGCCACCATGCCCAGCCTTCTCTTCTTAATACAGGGTTCTCCCTTATCTCCATAGAATGAGCTATTTTGTTTTAAATCCTTTGTTGATAATTTGTAATGAAAAGATTATTGAAATTTAAACACATTTGACCTTGTCCCAGGACTCTAGGCCCTGATCCTTGTCTTCTAGGATTCTTTTGTTTCAGATGCTAATGCTGTTATATGTCTGGATGGATCCATTTTGCTAGTTTCCAGGTCCAACACCTGACTTCAGAGGCCTGAAATGCTACTAGTTCTTCCTGTGGCTCAAAATTTGTCCATGGGGAGAGAGTTATATTCCATTATTTACTGACATTATTTAGTCCAGATAGGTAGGGATCCATTTTGCTAGTTAGCATTTCTCAGGCCCCAGGACAGTGAGATGGTTCTGAAGGCGTTTCCCCCATTTGTATGCCAGGTAGTTGGGACCCAGGTCTAAGCCTTCTCTAGGACACTGTGTAATCCATGTTAAGGTTGGTGCACTGAAGTGAGGAAGGCCTCAGCGTCTGCCTTTTTCTAAAGTGCTTGCAACAAGGGGGAGGCACTGCATGGAGGAATGGCTGCAACAGAAGAGGGAAAGCTGCTACCCTGAGGGTTAATGTACCTCAGGGTACATCAAGGATGGACCTATCTGATGCCAAGGGGTCAATGAAAAGACCTGGAGGTAATCTGGTGAAGTGGCATCAGATCTAGTACTGACTGCTGGGTGGGGGAGTCTCCTGGGGGTGCAGGTGGTGACGATGCTCACCTGTCTCCCCACCCCTTTCCCACAGTGCACCATGACGCTCATCTACCTCATCGTGGAGGATGTTTTCCAGCTCATCAACTACTTCAGCTTCAGCTACTGGTTCTTTGTGGGCCTGTCTGTGGTTGGACAGCTCTACCTCCGCTGGAAGGAGCCTGAAAGGCCCCGGCCTCTCAAGGTCAGCAGCTCTGGGCAGACTAGGAGGAGTGGGCCATCTCCCTCAGGTGGCTTTTTGCCCATGAGCTGTTTCCTCTCCCCACGTTACTTAGTATCTCACCCCTTCTATTTCAGCTGAGCGTGTTTTTCCCCATCGTGTTCTGCATATGCTCCGTGTTTCTGGTGATAGTGCCCCTCTTCACTGACACCATTAATTCCCTCATTGGCATCGCGATTGCCCTTTCTGGAGTCCCTTTCTACTTCATGGGTGTTTACCTGCCGGAGTCGCAGAGGCCACTGTTTATTCGGAATGTCCTGGGTGAGCTTCTCTGCGCCCCATTACTCACTGGCGGCTGTGTGTGCATGCGCATGCAGAGGTGGGGGGGTGGCTAATAGCTTCCCCATACTCAGAATTTGCTGGAGGCCATGAGACCCAGCTGTCGACGACTTCCCTTTTGATTTTGACATGATCACTTTAGTTCTAATTTTTATGTCCTATTTTGGGGCTAAAACATTACCTTCTGACAACACAAATCACCTGGGAAGAAGAGTCACGCATCAGACTGGCTGGGAATGGGGCAGAGGATGATGAGGCTTGTTGGGAGACAGGGGCAAAGCCTGATATAGAGTACTCAAGGGGCAGGTGGGGAGGGAGCCATAGATGCTACCAGTCAGCCTTGTGTTCAGGTTAGGGCTGTAGCTACTTACTAAATCCTGTGCTTGCTCTATTTTCATTCAGCTGCTATCACCAGAGGCATCCAGCACCTTTGTTTTTGTGTCCTGACTGAGCTTGATGTAACCGAAGAGAAAAAGGATGAGATGAAAACTGACTAGAGGTCAGAGGTGGCTTTCCTAGGCCTGGAAGGCTGGCCACACAGCGAAATCCTGATAACAAGACTCTATGGGCCCAACTCTCCTGAATTAAAGGAGCCTTTTGACCCACATCATATAACGGGGCTCAGGGCCAGTGCTCACTCTTCTTGGTAAGCTATAGGAGACTCAGGATCTGGGCCAACCTCAAGGTGGGGGCTTCAGAGGGTGGGGGGAAGATTGGGGAACAGGGGAATGGTCATTTAGTTTTACTCCTGATAGGCAGAGGCAGCTCTTACAGATACTTACTTGGTAAGGTGCAGTGGGGAAGAGAGAATGCTAGGTTGATAGGGCTGGTGGCTTCTGAATTTGGTATTTGAGATTTGAACTAGGAGTCCCTATAGAGGGGCTGCTCTATGGGAAGTTTTCCTCTGACCAGGTCCAACACCTGACTTTAAAGGCCTGAAATGCTACCGTTTCTTCCTCTAGCTCAAAATTCTTCCCTGGGGAGAGAGTTATAGTTCCTTATTTATTGATATTTAGTCCAGAACACCAGTTCTAACGAAGCATGAGTGTCTCTTCATCTACAGGATGCAATAGGCTGATTGTATTTAAAATTCAAAGTACCCAAAACTGAGTCCCTCTGGGCTCAGAAATGTCTGTGGTATTGGGTCAGACTCTGACCACAGATTTTATGCTGTTTAGCACAATCTTCTATTGAGTCTTACCTGCAACAATGAACCTTACAGATTTTTTTACTCACGTACCTGTTACACTTTAGCATATAGATAGATCATGTTACAAGCACTTGGCTCAGGTCCAGCAAGGACAGATGAACAAATTCATAAGTCAGAAGTCTGTTAATATGGCTGTTTTGAAGGATAATCCTTTATTTTACTTGAGACCTTGCATCTTTGTTCTAGCTGACAGTAAATCTCTGGGTTTCTGTTATGAACTCTTAAGAGGGCTGAAACTTCTGAAATTCAGGTGGATCACCTGAATTCTCTCAGCTGTCAGTGGCTTGGAGAACATCTCAAGGGCCCAAGTCATCAAATAACCTCTCCGTAAGGGAAGTGTGAGGGACTGCTGCGCAGACCCAAGCAAACCCACCCTGGTGCTAGAAGAGGTCATTTCACTTTTTCTGAAAACCTCACATCAGACTGCATCCCCTTCTGTCCCTGGCACCAGGCTTTGTTTACACTTGGAGCCGCCTTGGTGTGGGTAACCAGGACAGTGTACTCCTCTCCTGCCAGCCTCCCCTTCCCCGAGGTGTGGTGGCTGCAGTCTCAGGAAGAGCTTGGTACTTGTGGGGACTTCTGTTTTCTCCCTGTGGAGATCAGTGAAGACTGGGAGGAAAGCTGCTTCAACCTGAGTTGGGCTCTTCAGCAGGCTGCACAAGTGGAAGCAACTAATTCTGGTGCTCAGGCTGGGTTCTCCACCCAAGTTAGGCCTGCTCTGGCCTAACAGATCTTACTGTATGAGCAGGATGGCTGCACTGGATTGTACAACTGTTTTGTGATGCTCCCGGACACTGTCATTCTGGGCCCAGAAAAACCTGCTAGCTTGACATACCCCATGGGCTTCTTACTCTTAGGTTTTGGAATTGGTAAACAGTGAGGCAGTCTCCCTTTCTGACCATTCTTCACCCACTCACAGATAAGGGAATAACCTTGGCCATATATTTGCTCAATAAAGATTGAAGAAAGCATGGTCACAGTTGCCTTGGGTTCAGAGCATAATGCATATGTGAAGCATGGGGTGACATTCTTACTGTCATGGGTTTGGGATTTGTACGGCAAATTCCTGCCCGAAGACAGGGTGTCTTGTGCAAAGGCTGACTTGCCTGAACTCTAAGAACATGACTTTTGTCTGAGCCAAGCTGGCACCCATCCCAGGGCTCCTCTGGAGCTAATCCTTTAAGCAAAATGTGCTTGCCTTTTAAAGATCTTTGAAAGATCCCTGACCCCAGCTTTAGCTTTCTCCACCAGATAACCAGCTAATCCCAGGAATTTACTGCCCCCCGCCCCTGCCCCCAGTGGCTTCTAGGGAAAGCAAGGACCTCACATGCCAGGTGCCCTAGTACTTGCTCAGTGAGCCGTGTCATCCTCCTTTCATTTTTGGATGGTGACAGCATTCTTCCCCTTTGTGCTGGATACAGACTTCTCCCAGGATCCCTTTTTTGGGAGCGAAGCCAGACAATCCCTACAGCACTCAAGCTTCAGGGTGGAATTAATTTCTGCCAGCTCTTTGTTGTCTGTCTCCTTAAATCCTTCTCCTGGTGTGCTTATCCCTTTTGCAGTGAGTACGGTTTATTAAGTTATCAGCCCTTTAATATTGGGGAAACTTAATGAGTATAAATGGCAGGGAGCACACTGTAACAGCAGTGTTTTGTTTTTTCACCTGGTTGCTGTGAGTCCAAGAATGGCTTTCAATCCTTTGTTTCTATGTCTACAGACAGAAAATGAGATGTCTAATATTAGACATACAAGTTGCTGCCTGTTATAATGTTGAGTTATACCTTTGTGCATACCTAGGATGTTTGTTGTTTTAATTAGCTGCAATATATAGGGCCTGTGTACACAGAATTTAATCACTTCGGCAGGTTGAACAACTCCATGTAGATAAGAGCTAGTGTAGGTAAACATTTAGAAAATGGACATAAAGTCAAAGTGATGGCAGGTAGGATGAAGGAGAGATACTTAGGAAATCCTAAAAGAGGCGGCAAGAAGGCATCTCCCTGTGTAAATTCCCTTCCCCCATGACAGTGAGTCAGAGACACTCACAGGCTATGAGGGCACAGCCCTAGCTGAATGTTCTGCGTTGTCCGAAATAGCTACTAGCCACATGTAGCTAATTACATTAAAATGAAATAAAACTAAAGCTCAGTTTCGCTTCAGTTGCGCTAATCACATTTCAAGTGCTCAGCAGCCACCTGTGTCTACTACTACACAGCGCAGACACAGAACACAGCGTCACTGCAGATAGTTCTACTGGACAATGTTACACTAGAATAAACACCAAGGCAGTCAGTTAAGGCAGCTATGGTTTGGAAAGGCATAGGAACAGAGTGTGCTTACAAGAGATCCAAGTTGTGGTAATAAAACTGATCCTGCTGATAGTAGTTTGTTTTTGTGGTGAGTGCTGTGAAGAGTAAATGTTACTCAGTGGAAAGCTAAGTTCAGAATGTGCTTTGTTTTTCCTCCTTTGCTTTAAGTCCTTGGTATTTATAATTAATGCTGAAACTTCCGTCTCACTACCACTCCGTTTTAGATATTCAGATTTAAAAGGCTTTTTAAAAGAATTACTTTCTTCCATGTTCAAAGTTAGACTTTACTAAATACATGTATCACATTCATATACATTGTTTCTTGGCCCCATTGCCAAAGGAAGTCAGTCAGTCATTTCACAACTATTACCAGAGTTTGGAAGCCGAACTAGCTGTTAACTGAAATCTCCCACAGCTCACAGACTGCTTTCTGCCCTAATGGCCATTACTATCCAGTCTGTGTTGCTACAAGGGACCCACGGTCCCCCTTTTAGATTCTATCAAAAGGAACAGGGTTTTCCCAGAGGCAGGCAGCCTGGTGGTATGGCAGAGCAGAAACTTACTGCTAATGAAACGGGAACCTCTCCTTCCCTTGTGGTTTCAGCACAGCACCTGAATGCCAGGAAAAATTCCTGGGCCAAGACGCTAAAGCTAAAGAAACCTTCCTTTTTACACATTTTTTTTTTTCTTTCAAACTGTAGGGTCACTTTTGATTGAGGCAAAGGGGCCCTACTGTAAATGGAAAAGACTCACTCCTTTAACATAAGTTTTCACTGTGGTAGGATGGTGCTGCCTGACATGCTTGATATGCTTTTCCTTCCACGTGTTAAGCTAGGAAACCTAAGAGGATGTCAGCAGGGCAGTTAACCCTGGACTCAGAGCCCTCAAGGGCTTGTGGCAGAACCTCATGGCTGGACATCACAAGACGATCAGTCTGAATCCAGGTCGTGGGGGCTGTCATAGCCAAACTCCTTCTGCACATCCAGAGGGTACTTGCTCCACATTCGTTGTCTGCTGCTGCCTCTTTCCTCCTCACTCAGGCTGTTATAGTCAGCAGAGCCTAGAATGAGATCCCGGGAATGGATTCTAAATGTGATTTTCCTAGGTTACTGCAGGAACCCCTTCTCTTCTCAGAAAGGTCTATTTTTGTTGCCGATTGTAATGCAAAATGCTTGCTCAATAAAGAAAATAAAGCATATAGAATTTTTTTTTTTTTTTTTTTTAAGAAGCAATCACTTTCCTATCATCTAAAACAAGTTCCTTCACACTGGAGTATTTTGTCACTTCTCCCCTCCGTATAGTATTTTTTGTTGTTGTTAACAGTTGTAGTCATATTGTAAATATTTTTGTACCTTTCTCCTTTTAATGTGTTATTGACAAACCTCCCCAATAGAATATTCAATTGTTTGTTTCATTTCTCTGTTGTCAGACACCAATAAATTCTTTTTTTTGGGCCTTCTTCTACTTTCTTTAACATAGTTACCACAGGAATTATGTTGTCAGGTCATCTTTCTTCTTCCCCCAGGTATTATGTCTGTGTTGCATCTTTCTCAAAACAGTTGTACATGCAGCAGTTTTTTGAGAAGTTAGATAACTGATTTGTGAAAACTCTGGGCTTATTCCTACTAGCAAACCTCTCTCTTCCTTGGTTTCTTGACTGGGGCAGGGAAAGAGACAATGAGCTACATATTTTACACAATGTCAACCACCAAAATTCATATAGAACCATCTCATCTGCAGAGAAAATGAGGCTCAGTGAGGTGAAGTAACTGCCCAAGAGCCACAGCAAAGTAATGACAACTACAGATTTGAACCCAGGCCTGATGGATTATTACACCCCCAGGAGGCCCCTGGGAAACACTGGTCTTTGGGTCTCCTACAGCACGAATTGCTCAATGGCAGAGAAGGAAAGGCAGTTAAGATGAACCTGTCAACTATGCCTGCACCTCAGTCTCAGATCCTACCAGTCCCTCCCCGACTGGGGCTGCCACCCACCTCTGGAATCCTCATCTCCATCACTGCTCTCCTCCTCTGGGTACTCATTGCGCCAGTTATTCTCACTGTTCTCATCATCTTCATCGTCGTAAATGTCCTCTGGTTCTTGATCATCATTCACCTACACATCTCAACACAAACATGAGTCCAAATCAAAACCTCTAAGGTTATGCTATGGGGGAAGTTGTTAGCATACCAGTTGGAGGGATGTCATGTAAAAGTGCCATGTGAAAAAACTGCAGACTAGGAGTTAGTTTGACTTCGTTGCACAAGAGGGAGATAATAGCCTCCTTCCACCCAGAGTCCAGCTCCAGAATGATAGGACACGCTGAACTCCATGAGAAGGGAATACAGGGAAAAGAGAAGTGATGGCTCTGAGCGATTCCTTTAAATTCCAAAGGTCAAAACCAAAACCCAAGCATAAGAGGTACAGAAAGGCAGGAGGAAGGGCCATGCAGTGGGCCAAGGTGGGTACCTGACTGCAACTCTGTGTCCTAATGCAGGTGCAGGATACAGTGCTTCTCGATTACAGTCTAAGCATGACAGTTAGGTGCCACCTTAAGTTTTCTTGTTAATCATTTTAGAATTTAAGAACAGGCCAGGTGCAGTGGCTCACGCCTGTAATCCCAGGACTTTGGGAGGCCGAGGTGGGCAGATCACTTGAGGTCAGAAGTTTGAGACCAGCCTAGGCAACGTGGTAAAACCCTGTCTCTACTAAAAATACAAGAATTAGCTGGGTGTGGTGGCATGCACCTGTAATCCCAGCTACTTGGGAGGCTGAGGCAGGAGAATCGCTTGAACCCAGGAGGTGGAGGTTGCAATGAGCCAAGATGGTGCCACTGCACTCCGGCCTGGGTGACAGAGCAAAACTCCATCTCAAAAAAAAAAAAAAAAAAAAAAAAAGATAATGGTGTCAGCTAGGTGTGGTGGCTTACAGCTGTAATCTCAGCACTTTGGGAGGCCAAGGTGGGAGGATCACTTGAACTCAGGAGTTCAAGACCACAAGACCAGCCTGGACAACACAGTGAGACCCTGCCTCTACAAAAAAAAATCAACAAAAATTGGGCATCATGGTGCATGCCTATACTCCTGGCTGGCTGCTTGGGAGGCTGAGATGGGAGGATGGCTTGAGCCTGGGAACAGAGGCTGCAGTGAGCTCAGACAGCACCACTGCACTCCAGCTTGGGTAACAGTGTGAGACCTTGTCTCAAAAAAGAAAAAAAAAATAATAATGTCAGGTTGTTAGCTTCCTTCATGCAAGGTTTTCTCTACTTCTAAGGTACGAATTAAAAAATAGGTTTTGTTGTCATTCACATTAAGAATTTCTGGTTTTATCTTGTCTTTATCTTATCATAAGTCCCATATACATATTTCCCCCCAAGAATGGATAGCTATAAACAATAAAGATGATGTTGCAAACCTTCTAAAATGTTCATTAATGTAAAAATTATCAATCTAAGATGATCTTTCCCAAAATTCCCTGTACTATAAAGTCAGGTTCCTAAAAGGCACTTAGAATAAATTTTTCTTTTTAAGGAGGAAAAGAACTAAGGACAATGTTGATCAGGAGTGGAGGCCAGGGAAGCAAAGCATTCTGATTAGAGAAAGAGCTTAGGATGCCTCATGCCCCCTCTCCTCATGGGGCCCCTTACCAGCTCCCACTCTTGGCTGTAGGGCTGCACGGAGAGGATGTTCTCAATCCAGCCTGGAGTGGCTGTCTCCAAGTAGTAAATGTCATACACATAGTCATCGTGTTTTTGTTCTTCCTGGTGCCTGACTCCAGGTCCATCCTCAGACACAGTCAATCGCTCACGGATCAACTCTACAGAATTGCAGAGGATCACATCTGGGTCAGATGTCTGTAAAGAAACCACAGATTACACACACACACACATGCATGCCCCAAAACATGATGTTCCATGAGGAGGAACTGATGAGTTGGGTGAAGGAAGGCTCCCTACAGTTTGTGTGTGTGTGTGTGTGTGTGTGTGTTTGAGATGGAGTCTCACTCTGTTGCCCAGGCTGGAGTGCAGTGGCATGATCTTGGCTCACTGCAACCTCTGCCTCCCGGGTTCAAGTGTTTCTCCTGCCTCAGCTTCCCAAGTAGCTGGGACTATAGGCATGTGCCACCACACCCAGCTATTTTTTTGTGTTTTTAGTAGAGATGGGGTTTCACCATATTAGCCAGGATGGTTTCGATCTCCTGACCTCAAGAAATCTGCGCACCCCGGCCTCTCAAAGTGCTGGGATTATAGGCATGAGCCACCTTGCCCAGCTACAGTTCCATAATGTTGTGGTCAAGATTCTTATCCCCATGAATTCCTAGTCTTTTAACTAGTTATTACATTAAAAAATCAAGAATCACTATAAAATTACTGTGTAGTTCTTATTTTAAGATAGAAACCTACAAGACAGCCTCCTGCTCTTTTGTGCTTGGCTCTCACACCTATAATCCCAACACTTCGGGAAGCCAAGGTGGACAAACTGCTTGAGGCCAGAAGCTCAGGAACAGCCTGGGCAACATGGCAAAACTCCCGCCTCTACAAAGAAATACAAAAATTAGCTGGGTGTAGTGGTGTGCACCTGTAGTTCCAGGTACTCGGGAGGATGAGGCTGCAGAGAGCTGTGATCATGCCACTGTACTCCATCCTGGGTGACAGAGTGAGATCTGTCTCAAAACAATGAAAGAAAAAAAAAATATGGGAAGACTGGCCTAAGGAGAGGGGAAAGACAGAAGACCTGGCCAGTCTTGACCCCAAGCTCTGAGTCAGACCTGCTTCTATAGGTCTTCTGAGATCCTTTGGTAATACACAATGTTCTCTCTTTGGGGATCAGTAGGCCCACAGTAGCACCCCTATGGCTGAACCTGAAATGAGTCTCTGTGTGGCCTCCTGTAGAAGCCAACAGGTGTTTCCTGGTGACCTCTACCATTGCCCATCATTTGGCTTGCCATATATTTACATCCCGCTTTTAACTACAAATTGGGAGTGGGCTCACCTATAGTCTTTCTACTGGAAAGAACAGTTTGAAATGCAATGCCCTTGAACAGAAATGGCCCAGGTAAGATGTGCTCCA